TGTAGTGCTGCCCTAATTGTGGCATTACTGAGCAGACACTTTGACCCCCTGGAACAACTCTTACACTGTCTGCTTGCCACAGAGTTATTAACATTCAACATGAGGCTCTAACTTCACCACCACATCTGCATTACCCGATAAAGTTTCTACTTGTGCACTCACGCTGCTGCTCAAACATTACATTTTACATGTATGGCAGTCACACATGTCTTTAAGTCCAAGAAAATGGATTGTGCAAATTAGCAACGGGCATTTCTTATGACCTACCTGTTTCTATTACCTAATCCATCACCTGTGCAAGTAGCCAACAAAGTCTCATGCGGAGACTGCTGCAATCAAGATGCTAAACGTGACTCCCCCTACTGGCTCAACCTGTTACAGCTACAAGAGCAATGGGATGTGGAAGGGTATGGTGTATAACCCAATCTTTCATCAGAGCTCAGAAGTTAAGCAGGGCTGGTACTTGGATGAGGGATCACACAGGAAAATTCTGCAGAGGGAAGCAATGGCAACCCACCCCTGCTTAATCACTTGCCCTGAAAGCCCCTTAATGGGGTCATCATGTGTCAGCTGCAACTTGACAGCATATTCATACATACAAGAGCAACAGTGCTTACAGAAAGTCACTAACATTACTCAGGGCTTAGCAATACTTATACTGCCACTGAGCAACCATTGCTATTAATATCAGTAAGCAGGTGCCATAGAGGAGATGTTACATAAAAAGCTGGAGATGGTGTTAAGGGTGCTACAACAGTCTTCCGTGGAAATTAATTCGGCTTATTAAACTAAATTAGTCCTTGAAGGAACAACAGGAGGAATTATCACAATACACCATGCTTTTTTGTAGAGGGACTTTTATGCACTTAACTATGGTAAGAGATTTTTTTTTCTGCTTGATCACAAGGGTATTTCTGCAGCCATGTCTGCTCATTCTCAAATATCACAAACACACAATCTGGACCAAATAATTCGTAGATTTTTTGTTTAAATGACAGTCTCTCAGTTGGTGTACTATTCAGCCTATTAATGAGTTTTAAATTCCTGTGGATAAGCTATACCGATTAGGGAACCAGTTCACACAGTGAAATGTTTCTTATCATGAGGCATCCCATTGATTTCTTGGGAAAACATTTGTACAGAAAATATACTGTGCAACTTGGTCCATCTACTGAAGTATAGCAACTGGACTATGTAGAAACAACTTCCAAGCAACTATGGGTGGACACATAACTCATTATGGCTCCAGAAACATGGTGCCTATCAGCCAAAGAAATATGAGATACACCTGCAATTAATCTCTTGTTGAGTCCTATATACCTTTAAGAAATGGTAAAGAAGTAAAACAAAATCTATTAGCAGTAAATGACTTCATATGCCTAGAAGCTTCCAGAAGCTTAAAACAACAACAGAATCCTTAGAGTTATGAGTGTTTATGAATCACTTTAAAAATGTTGGTCAGTGTGAATATTATGTTAAGCAAGAAAATTTGAATTTTATGTCAACAAACAGGAGAGACAAGAAACTCTCAATTCACTATCATATCCCCTTCCTTTCCAGCCCTATTCACTGTAAATTCTTTAAAAGTTGCACCTTATTGACACCTTACCTTGTCACCGATATTGATGCAAGCTTTCGAATCCAAATCTCTAGGTGGCCTGAGAAATTTAAAAGAAGTTGGAGAGAGAATAAAATTGATGTAAGTACTTCAGAGCAGATATGACTCATTCAGGTCCATATGACACAAGCTATGGACTCATGATACAAGCATGGAGATTCAAGCGCATGAAAGATTAACATGGATAAAGTATTTATTTATTTATTTATTTATTTATTATTATTCGCATTTCTATCCCGCCCTCCCCGGAGGCTCAGTGCGGTTTACAGGGCATAATGCCAGATAAAACAGTAAAACAATACAAAATATTAAGTTACAACCCTATTAAAACAGATTTTGATGCTCCTCTCAGCAAAATTTCCAATCTCCTAAAATTCCTAAAAACAAGATGGCTATCCCTGACCGTCCCATTCTTGCCCAACAATGCAGCGACGGGATATGCGTGCCCCATCCTGATATCCAAATATGGGGGATAGATGGTACTAGTGCGGTCATAGTGCACTAGTGGTGGCGGCTCCTATTCAAAAGCCTGGCGGAAGAGCTCCGTCTTGCAGGCCCTGTGGAACTGTGCCAGGTCCCGCAGAGCCCTGATCTCCTCTGGGAGCTCATTCCACCAGATAGGAGCCGCCACCGAAAACGCCCTATTCCTGGTCATGTTGAGTCTAATAGAACGGGGGCCTGGAACTTCCAATAGGTTCTGGCTCCCCGACCGTAGTGCCCTTGGGGGAACATGTGGGGCAAGGCGGTCCCTTAGGTAGGCTGGTCCCTGACCATATAGGGCTTTAAAGGTAATAACCAGCACTTTGAAGCGAACCCGGTAAGCTATTGGCAACCAGTGCAGCGCTTTCAGCACAGGCTGGATGTAGTCCCGTCTAGGAAGATCCATCAGTAGCCTGGCTGCAGCATTCTGCACCAGTTGCAGCTTCCGAATTTGCGACAAAGGCAGCCCCATGTAGAGAGCATTACAGTAGCCTAGCCTCGAGGTGACCATCGCATGGATCACTGTGGCTAGGTCATCCCGGTCGAGGAAGGGGACCAACTGCCGCACCAGCCGAAGATGGTAAAATGCCGACTTGGCAGTGGCTGCTACCTGGGCTTCCATTGTTAACGCGGAGTCCAGGAGCACCCCCAAACTCCTAACCTCCGCCATTATGACTCATGGTTGTGGAGGTGGACATTTAGAATTTCTAAGTTTTAACTTGAAAAGCTGCTAGAAGATGCCAAGGGTTTCACAGATGATTCTTCTAACTGTGACCACTTCATCAAAATTGGGTGTGTAGCCAAATCTCTATAAGGGAAGAATAGGCCAATTTATTTCTGAACAACTTTCTGTGCAACCACTAGTCCCCACTTACTCTCCACACTACCACTGCAACTCCATATTTGCCCAGTCTGCCACCATTGCTGCTGTACCCATCACTGCTATTGCCCATCATACAGCTCCTTCCAACAAGCCCTCCTGCCTTTACCATACCCTCTGCCATTTCCCAACCCTCTTGCGCTGCTTCTTTGCCCTTTGCCTCTTGACTGATCCCCTTTAAAAAGAATGTCTAGCTGTCATACTAATTGTGGTCTTATAAGATCTTGGTTATCTTTTTTTTATTTGTTTGAGCTTTGAGGTCTGCACTAGGGGTGTGCATACCTGAAACAAAAATATAGCCCAAAAAAACCTTATCAGCATTTTCCAGTATATTTCAGCTTCCCAAATGTATCCAGGTTTTCTCAGGGGGGGGGGATTCTGGATCTATTAGGGAATTACCAGTAAATCTAAAAAAGAGGAAAGGTAGGAGCAGATTGCTCCGACCTCTCAGCTGCTTGTTGGGCTTCTACTGCAATCCCTTTAAAGTTTAAAGGGACTGCAGAAGACAGCCCAAAGATCTGGATTGGCTGCGTTGGGGGGGCGAGAGAAGACTGTTCCTGCGGGCTGCAGAAGAAGCTATCCCAGCCAGGATCTCCATGCCTTGGGGAGCTATCTCCCCATGGCACAGAGATCCTGGAGCTGGCTTTTCCTGTAGTGCAGTTTAAACCAGGCTGCAGATCAACCATTTTGATGTTGGCAGACCAATATTGGAGGCTGATTTTGCCAGAGCAGTGGTTTAAGTCGAAGGTCTTTGAGGTGCATCAGAGGCCATCATTGAAGAACACTCTGGGGCAGGAGCAAGGGCAGATTCCAGGAGGGCCACACGAAGCCGGGCTGCACGGTTTTTTCAAGTCTGATTAGAGAACTTCGTGTAGTGTGGGCAAGAATCGGGTCGATGGGCCTCACCAAGGCAGAGAACACAGAGGGTGTGGCCGTCTAGTGGAGCTACCGTACTGCCGCAGTTGGAGCAGCATTTGGAAACCCCCCACTTTTTAGCCATAAACAAGCGGCTAAAATCCAAAAGGGAGCGGGGCGGCCAAGGGGCAGGAAAAGCACAAAGTCTTTTTTTTTTTTAGGTAAAGATGGAGATAAGTCGATGAAAAGAGAGGAGAAAAGAATACTGAAGAAAGAAAAAGGGTGGAATCCCAAAGAGCTGAGGTAATCTCACTGAGGTAAATCTCACTGACTGTGGAACGAGCTGTTAACAGTGCGGTGGTCAGAAGAGAACAGGCGGGATGTCCGTGCTCTGCCCCCTGGGCATGCACAGTGGGGTTCCGGCGTATGCCTGGGGCGGAGGCACAAAAATCCCGGTACAGCTTTCATCAACACCGATCGGATCAGCGCAGGTGCACTGGTTCCCACGGGTGTGATGCACAGAGACCACGACGAAGATCAGATGTTATTTTTCTTGTATTGGTGTTTGACAGAAACAGCGAACGCTAAGATAGTAAATACAAGCTCTGCTATAAATCCCCTTTTGATGGTGGAATATCAGTAATATTTTCTTTAATGGAGTCCTAATGTATATCACAACCAGAATACAAAATGGCATAGACAAAAAAAAGGTGTTTAAATAGCCCAGGTAAATCCAAAGCTTTTGTGCTTCGTGTGTGAGTATCATGCATGCTAATCAGCAGTGTTTTCTGCATTTCTTATGAGTGCTAAGTATTGACTGAGCCATGTAAATAGCAGGAAGCCTCCTTCTGATCTTATTTCATCTTAGGCTGCAGGAAAATTCCATGGAAGATGGTTGGATTCACCCCTCTGGATAAGCTTCTCTTATCTTGGAAATATTTAATTAGGGTTTTAATATTGAAAATGGCCTATTGTTATCTCAGGGTCAAAACAGACATTACAATAAGTGTGGTTGCCAGTAAAAATTGCCACCACTGGATTAGTTCTTCCTCATCAACAGTCGATGACATGGAGCTATGGAACCAATTACAAGTGTGAACACTTATATCTCAACATAAGATAAGTTCTGTGCATTAGAGCAGGAAACGATTTCATTCTGGATTCAGGTCAGGAATCGGAACAGAGATTGTTCTGAGTTGCCTTGGTTGATGACCTCTATCTAGAACTAGACAGGGGAATGTGTTAGTTCACTCAGATTTCTCAGCAGCCTTTGATACTGTTGACCAAAGTATCCTGAAGAGCCACCTCTTAGCACTGGGACTAAGGGACACTGTTACAGTGCTTTTAGTCCTATTGGGGGAGGTCTCCGAAGCTGTGTTGGGGGGATTCCTGTTCTGCCCATAGCTGTTGTTCTGTGGGGTTCTGCAGGATTTCATCTTATCCTCCATGCTATTTAATATCTATATTAAATAGAAGCCACTGAGAGAGGTGGTATTACCAGTATGTGGATGATACCCAGCTCTACCTTTCTTTTCCACCTAATTCCAAGGAAGCTGTTGATGTTCTGAACAGGTGCTTGAAGTCAGTAATGGGCTGGGTGAGGGTAAACAAGCTGAAACTTAATCCTGAGGTTCTCTGGGTCAGCAGAAAGACAGACCAGAGACTCAAGATATCTCCTGTCTTGGATGGGGTTATACTCCTCTTGAAAAACCAGGTTCACAGCTTGGGACTGCTGCCTGACACAGAAGTCATCTTAGCAAAGGAGACAGCTGCAGGGATTTGAAAAGCTTTTGTCCAGCTTTGGCTAGTGCGTCAACTGTGCCTAGTTCAGTCAGATCTAGCCACAGTGATTCATGCCTTAGATACATCTAGACCAGACTACTGCAATGCACTCTACCTGGGGGTACTCTTGAAGAGTGTTTGGAAGCTGCAGCTAATGCAGATTGCCATGGCTAAGCTGCTGGTTAGGGCCAGCTACTGGGAACACGTGATCCTGATATTACAGCAATTACACAGGCTAACAATCTGCTCCCAAGCCCAATTCAAGGTAGTTTTGTCCTTTAAAGCCCTACATGGCTTGAGATCAGGGTATCTGAAGGACCATCTTCTCCCATACATTTCTGCCCAGGAGTTAAGATCACAGGGACAGGCTCTCCTGACTGTCCCACCAATCAAAGAAGCTCGTCTGCTGGGTACACAAGAAAGGGCTTTTTTACCGACAGCCGCACAATTATGCAACAACCTATCCAGGGAGGTGCACTTGGCTCCTTCAGTGTCAAGACAGTTTTATTTAGGATTGTATTTTGACTGATTTGGTTTTTAATTTATTGGCAGTCCTAATCAGAGGTTTTAAATTGCAACTTTTTATGGGTTTCTCTAAATTGTTATTTTATTTTTATTGTTTTTATTTTGTTTTTTATAATCATATATATTATTAAGCCACCTTGAGTTCTGCAAGGTACAAAGGTGGCTAAATAAATGTTTAAAATAAATAAATAACTTGACATGCAATGGTCATTTTTGGCAGTAGTGACATATTCTGTTGTGATGTCACATTTGAGCCCCCCAAAAGTACATAATATGAGCCTATGGCAATACAATAAATCAGTTAAAAGATAGAGGACTCAACAGTTAACATCCCTAATGTTAACCTTTCTCCATTCTCCAGAATCTGAGCTCTAAAAATCCATTCCTGTCAGATAATTTTACAGACCTCTGCTCTTGGCACTGCATCCTCCATGTCCTGGCTCAACCCCTTCTGTACCCAAGACACACTTTTGCTATTCTAGATATTCTTATATTACAGGCATATCTAATGTCCTCAG